AAATTCACAAGTGCTTATTTATTCCAAATTGCAGGAGAAAAAGAGCACGCGCATCACGTGCAAAAATAATTTATTCAAGCCCTGCAAGTGACAAAATATTTTTTTCGCCAGGCATTTGTTGCAAGTGACATTGACCTTCACATTGACCTTGACATTGACATTGATCAATCATTCTGACCAATTAGCATGTCTGGTTTGTTTCCTTCTTTGCACTGAACTAACTCTCTTCTGCACTGAATTAACTCTTTTCTGCACTTAATTAACTGAAAACAGCATTCATCTTAACCAATTAGAGCTGAGAAATTTTTTCATGTATATTTAACAATTATTCCATGAGCGCCCGTTGGATATGAGATGATAGATAGCCAACGAGGCTAGCGAAGGGGCTAATGCTCGAAACGTCAGCTTTTGTAATCATTACGGTGGCCAATTTACCATTTCAACTTTGTTGATATCCAAATTATTTCGTTACTGCCACCGACGCAGCCCCAAACAGTTTCTTTCGAAACTATCAGCCTTTGTTCCTTGTGTAAACCGCGGAAACTGGGATGAGAGTGCGACATCTTATGTTATCGTGAGCTCACTCTTTAGAAACAACGTAACTTACAGAATGCTATGTTTTGTGGAGACTGCTTTGCAAAGATTCCTGTCTTATAAGCTAGTCCCACAGGCAAACGCAAACGCCGTATGTGGTAGGCCCACGCTAAATGATGTTGAGTGTTTTCGGAATTGGCCGGCCCGCGAACTTCCTTGCTTGAAAGCTGAGCTAAATGTGGAAAGTTCATACTAGTTCTCACGAGATAACAAATGAGCCATAGGTGAGCTCAAACTACGAAAATACTGGCAAAACTGTGAAGTCCTATTTAACAACAAACTATGATGCTGAGACGCACACCTCGGTGAAAAAATCAAGAATGTTCGTGAACAACACCGAATTGGATAAGGATACTGACAGAAGCAACCTAAGTAGTAAAGTTAACTATATAAGCTTAGCTCGTCCGTTAAATAACCTGGCTGGTTTTTATTGGGTTCAATATACTTTGAAAGTACGATTTGGTGTCTCCTACAGAATCACTATTAACAAGTGGTTCATGCGTTAGCGTGCGTTCATGGAGACTTGAGCACGCGGGAAGTTTGGAGATCACGAATTAAAAATGCCTTTTAGAGTTGGTCGAGGCGCAGCTGAGAGCAACTCTGGCTTTTTGAGTGCTCTCCAAACCTTCCAAGTGCTTCAAGTCTCGATGAACGCACAGCTGACACGTAAACCAATTGTTTTATAACATTTTCAACGAGGTAGTTTATGTATAAAGGGCTGAAATTGCCTCTCCTACGCTTCAATGCGTTTAGTTTGTTTCGCAAAAGTATTTCGCTATGTTTCAATGATCTTGTCTCAGATTGGTCAAAAACTGACAGGTGAAATCCTGCGTGGAAATGAAGTTACAGGTGCGAATCGAGATGAAACCGTTGATTTTTTGTTTTCCCTTTCTTTGGGTTCTTTCTCGCGGGTTAAAAAATCCATTCCCAAAGAAAACGTAGACAGATTTTCATCGGCTTCGCTTGCTGCCCTGGCTAGTTTAGTTTTTTTTGCGGAGGTTTTTTTTAAGAAAAAAATGCCGAAGTCACTCGCGAGAAAATATTTTTTTCCCCAGGCATTTGTTGCTTGACGTCACCAGCTTGCACAATGAAAAAATGAAGCTCGCTCCCGCAATTGAATTTGTTTGCACGAATTTACAAGCTATGTTATAATTGTACTCGTGTTCGGTGTGAATGCCATGGATATAAAAGAAGCTCGAGTGAACGCTCCTCGAGCGTCTAGTTTCGGTTAGCACTCATCTCCATACTTCAGAATGATGTGACGTCATTCCCAATCTTCGTAACCTTTTTCGGAACCGTTCGTCGAACACTTCGAGCTCATTCAAGACATGGCAGTTAACCAGGGCAAAATACATTACCTTTTCTCAGAAATATAGGCGCTTGCCATTGCAAGTATAATGTGTCTCATTCTTTCGCCGAGCGAGACAACCTTTACGACTTCAATGGTTTTTAACCGATAACATAAAATGGCTCAGGTTTTCATCTCCCAGTACATCTTTCACATGGACTTGTCAACAAACAATCGTGTGATAGTGGTTTTATATTAAAATTAAGTCAATAATACGAGTCTGACAAAGATTGAGAACCTGTGATCATCAGCTCAAAACAAAAATGTGTTGGTCATTTTGAAGTATGGAATTGGCGCCATATATGAAAGTGACGTTCCGATAATTTCCAAATGGCCGAGGAATGTCTGAAAAGTTTCACCTCCTTTTAATTCCTTTTAAAATATTACTTTATTGTGATTCAGTAATGTTTGAACAACAAATA